ATTTTGGATAAGTAAAAAAAGCCAATCTCAAAGGTTATGTGCTTCCTGATTCCAGTTATATAACATTCTTGAAATGAAAAAAATATAGTGATGGGTAATAGAATAGTGATTGCCAGGAGGAAAAGAAGTGGCTGTGGCTAAAAAAGTAGCATGAAGTATCCTTACATGGAACTCTTTTTTTTTTTTTCCTTTTTGTCTTTTTTCGTGTCCGGCAACGGACCGCAACCCTCAGTGTCGCGCCCGTACCGGACCGGGACCGGCAACGGGATCGCAACCCTCGGTGCTGCGCCCACCCCTCGCTCAGCCAGTGAGCGGGAACCGGTCTGTATGTGGGATCCGAACCCTCGGCGGGAGCACCACCGCGCTCCCAAGCGGGGCACTGTAGCAGTGCGCCACCAGGCCGGCCCCCTTACATGGAACTCTTGACCATGGTGGTGATTATGTGAATCTGAACATGTGATAAAAGTGCATATAACTAAAAAAACATACAAATGAGCATGTTTAACTGGCAAAGTCTTAATAAGGTAGGTTTTATCAGTGTTACTTTCCTGTACTATAGATATGCTAGATGTTACCATTTGGAAAAATTGGTTGAAGAGCTTACAGCCTCTTTATTATTTCTTAAAATGCATGAGAATGTTAAATTACCTCAAAATAAAGTTTTGTTGTTGGGGTTTTTTTAAATAAACCATGGTAAGGAAAGTATGTGCCAACCATATATTGTTTCACTGAATTTTCACTTCACTCTTTGAGGTAGTTATTTTTATCCCAGGTGTATAGATAAGAAAAGTAGGACTCGGAGCTTATAGCATTTTCCCAAATAATTTGTTCCAGTCTAACTCCCATACTCAGCTGGTGTGACCAGATTGGATGAGCCTCAGCTGGGCCAAGATACAAACCTTTTCTCAGCCACCCTTAGCAGTTTCCAGTATAACCCTCAATAGGAAAGACTAGAACTTCTACCTCTCTTCCCAGCCCAGACAAACTCTGTTAGAATTTTGGTCCCAGGGTATTTGTTCTATGATGTATCATTGAGTCTCTTTACACAGTATCTGTTTGTCAACAGTTGAAAATAAACAGGATTGTTTTCCTTCAGAATCCTCAGACTTTCACCCTCTTCTCCCTTCCTGATTTCTTTCCATGTTCCTTCCTTTTACAATATAGTAATACTTTAAATTACTAACTTTAACAACTGAAACTCATTTATACTGATACACTACCTCTCATGTGTCTTATTTTATTTTCAAGCTTAATTGTGGAGGGACAGGTTTTATTTGTTACACAGATACTTGCAGGATTATCATTCAGCACGGGTATTGTATTAGTCCTTTTCTGTTACTTATAACAAAATACCTGGAACCGGGTATTTTATAAAGACAACACAATTTATTGCTTACAGTTTCTGAGGCTGGGAAGTCCAAAGTCCAAGGAACACATCTGGTGGTGGCAGCAGTGACCCTGAGTATCACACTGTGAAAATGGTGGAGCAGAGAGAGACTAACCTCCTCATTTATTCTCTTTTTAAAGCCCTCAGAACCATGCTTATGCAGGGAAAATGAAGGTAAAATGGTCAGGATCCCTCAGGGCTTTGGAATCTAGCCGGGCATTTGATATAAACATAACTATGCACGTGTGCCCAAGTTTTTTCTTTTTTTATTGTCTGATGTAATTGCGCATGTGTGCCCAGGTGTTCTTTGGTTGTCTGACTCGCACCCAGGTGTTCCTGGCTTATCAGGCTTAAGTATAAAGGACTTACGGCTCTGATCCATAATGCCCCCTGCCCCCGGGATTCCCCGGAGGGGCCACAGGGAGGCCCCTACTGTTGTTGGAGGCCGTTGCTGCCAGGGCCCCCTGGGTGCTCCAGGAGGCCACTGCCACTTCTGCCAGATCTGCTGGAGGCTGCTGTAAGCTGCTGCCAAGGAAGCTGAGGACAGAGGTCTCATTGGAATGAACCTGTCAACTCTGCCAGTGGCTCCCAAGATCTTTCCCAATTACCTAGCTCATGACCTGTATGTGAGGGGTCTGTGACCCAGCCTGGCACATGAGGGATCTAGTGACCCAGCCTGGCATGTGATGGGTCTGTGACCTAGTCTGTACGATGGGTTTGAAAGGTCTGAGCCCTAGCCCGACAGCCCTTGACCACCATTTTTAAATCATTCACTAGGCATGTTCCTCAGAATCTAATCACCTCTTCAAGGCCCCACCTTTTAATTACTGTAATAGGAATTCCCACCCTCAACAGTTACAGTGGGAGTTTAAGCTTCAATGCAGGGGGGGGGCATACAATCTACAGCAGGCAGATTGTTACTTCCTTTCTCCGTATCCTTCCTTCCTCCTTTCCTTCCTTCCTTCTACCATCCCCCTCCCTTTCTTCCTTCCATCAGTAGATTGTACTAGTTGCACACGTTGTGCTTGCCTGTGTCATTTTTTTCATAGTTCCCCCTTTCAGTATCAGAACTGTCTGGTTTGAATGATAAATTATATGATTATCCACCCAAAAAGTCATTGATCTGACTTCTTTTATCTAGGAAGGAAAAATGATTAAGTGGAACTAAGATCTATTTTATAAACATTTATGCTTTATCTCATGTTTGGTTTGACTTATTTGATTTTAAGAAGCAGAGATCAACTCAAATTACCTCAGGAAAGAGGGGGTTTATTGTAATGATACACTGGCACTTGAATTTGAACCAAAGTCAGCTCTAAGGACCAAACTATACTCTTCATCTTTCTCTCCCAAGTCGTCTAGCGTTCTTTCTAATTACCTCCTTTTCATGTGTGTATTTGCTCTGTTTTCTCATTACTGCCCACCTTTTTTACTTACCTATGTTTTCATATCTCTTTAAGTTCACTGTTAATATAGTAATCCTTTCTGACCTTTCTATAGGTCACAGATTCTTAACCTGGGATTGATGGATGCTTCGAGAATACACTAAACACACTGAAAGTATATGTTTATACCTGTGTGCTTTTTCTTGGGAGAGGGTCTATAGCTTTCAATAGTGTCAAAGAAGTCTGAGACATAAAAAAAAGTTACTTAACTTTTCCATTTCTGTCCTTACTGCTAACTGGCATAGAATCCCTAAAGTCAAATTCTGGCCCAGCTCATCTTTTCATACCAGGTTACAGATCATCTACTATACTATGAATTAGCAACCCTGGTGTCACATGCAACCTCCCAATCTAATCATCTTTGTGTAATAATGAAACATGGATACTTATGTAGTAGAACTGATGAGCTACACTTAAAATGAGTTATGGGAGTCTGGTATTACCAGTACACTTCAGTAAACAAATATTTATTGAATGCATATCTCTGGGCAAGGCCCCATGACTTGCTCTGTGAAATAGACAGATGAATTAAGAATCCTGGTCTCAAAAAAATGGAAACAACCCAAATGTCCATCAGCTGACGAACGGATAAATCAAATGTGGTATATATGCATATAACAGAATATCATTTGGCAATACAAAGGAATGAAGTACTAATACATGCTGCAATGTGGATAAACCTTGAAAACGTGTTAAATGGAAGAAGACAGTTACAAAAGACTACTTATTATGCAATTCCATTTATGTGAAATGTCCAGAATAGGCAAATTTATAGAGATAGAAATTTACCTAGGGAAGATGTGGAGTGACTTATAACAAGTACAGGGTTTCTTTTTGGGTGATGAAAATGTTCTAAAACTGTGGTAATGGTTGCACAACTCTAAATATACTAACAATCTGTTAAATTGGGTGAATTGTATGGTGTGTGAATTATATCTCAGTAAAGCTGTTAATTGAAAATAATCCTGGCCTTAAGAATTTTATAGTCTGTAGGAGTATAAATACACACAAATAATTATAAAGTAGAAAGTGATTATTAGTACTGTACTACTTTTAAAAATGACAGTCTGGAACATGTCGACACATCTTACATATTGGTCTTTTGATGCATCTTTAATTCTCTGACACAGATGAAGTATTTATGGGAAGAGAGTAATAATTACAGTTTTACATGGATTGGAGATCAGAGAAGATTTCATGGAAAAGAGAGAAACTGAATTACAGCACAAAGCAATAACTGTTTTTTGGTTTAAAAAACAAAAAATAGGAACAGCATCCAGGCCAAGAGAAAATTAAGAGTTCCAGAGCTATCTGAGACTTAAAACTATTGCTAGAAATAAGAGCTAGAGAATAAAACAAGAAATTGAGCTTGACTAGAATATTGTTTTCTTTAATGTATTTAATGGTTATACCCTAGATTTTCTGTAACAGCTTTGATTCAGATATTCCTTTCTTCTCCCATAAGACCTAGATGTTGAAAAGCAGCTTGTTGACCTGGAGAGGGCACATTTTAAATGTTTATAAAAAAGAATTATACTTCTTCAATAGTCCATGTGAACCAGCAGACCAACAAAACCTAACTTACATGCCACTGAACTATATTGTAATTGGTGTCTGTCAATTTTCATGTCATCATTTGAACATAATTAAATTTACATTTTTGAGCTTTTCAAATTTAATGCTACTAAAATTACGAAGTAAAATTGGGGTATTACGAAGTACTACTGCCCTTCTCCAAAAAGAGCACAACTAAATTTTCCATATGTAAATGACATTTTAATCATAGCTAACACTATTATTAACAAAAAATGTATGTAGCTAATACTATTATTTACAAAAAAAAATTTTGCAGTCTAGAGAGATGATGATCTTATGTGGCCTCTTTTCCTAATTTAGGCTGCTTTCACTGGAGAACATTAAAATATCCTGGAATTTCAATATGTCAGCATCTAAATTATATCTCCCAAACTGCCTATTGAGAAACAAAGGCTATATGGATATGAAGAGAAATGTTTTAGATAATATGATATATGTTATTATATGTGTTTACTTTATAAAAGCATCTTGTAAATCTAATTTTTAAACGTTTATAAAAATAAGAATTTACCAGCTGTTTAAACAGCCAGATTCTGTAGTTTAATAACCACTTTTTAATTAATATGTTTCAGTTCTGGAGGTGGTTTTTGGCAAATCTGGCTTCCGGTGGAGCTGCTGGGGCAACATCCTTATGTGTAGTGTATCCTTTAGATTTTGCCCGGACCCGATTAGGGGTCGATGTTGGAAAAGGTATGGGATTTGGGGAAATAACTAATTCTTCCTTCTTTGTGTTTTGAACTATGTATTGTTTATTGTAGAGTTATGATATAACAACTGTATTACTAGGTATAGTTTACAAATTTTATTCTCAACCAAGTGGTAGAGTCATAGGGCCTAAACTATACTAATTATTGTTTTCTCTCTTAAAAGAGAGAAGGGGAAGTCCTGTTGTTACAAAAGAATAAACACAAAGACTTCTTACAATTTAGTTCCATTTTTTCCTACAGAGCCCCTCCTAGATTCCCCCATACACTTAATCCTGACTTGACTGTGGCTTCTCTCTAGGAAAGATGTACAACTCATCCTAGAAATTCCCTTTGCTTCTATCCTTACTTAAATATCACATCTTCCTATTTTTTTGTTATACCCTTATTTTTGGTAGAATATGTTCTTTGGTAGCTTTCTGAGAAAGAGCAAATAGGAAATAAATGGAGATCTTTCATTTCTAAAACTGTTTTACCCTCTCACTTGATTAATATTTGGCCACATATAAAATTCATATTTTAAAGTTATTTTCCTTCACAATTTTGAAAGCATTACCTTGGCTTTTAGTTTCTAATGTTGCTCTTAAGAAATCAGATCTCTAGGCTGGCCAGTTAGCTCATTTGGTTGGAGTGCAATGTTGTAACACCAAGGTCAAGGGTTCGGATCCTCACTGGCCAGCCACAAAAAAAAAAAAAATCAGATCTCTTACTCCTGATACTTTAGTATGTGACAGGTTTTTCTTCTTAGTTACTTTCTATCCCTGATGATTTTACATTCCACAATCATGTATCTCTCTGTGTCTCTGTTTTCCATAATCATAGATATCACTCAATTGGCCATATTCAGTCTGGAGACTTGTGCTCAGTTCTAAGGATGGCAGTGGAATAAGTAATTTGGCTACCCCAGATGAGATTGTAGATTTTGAGCATTCAGCTGCTTCTGTGCTTTTCCCCTAGGAGTAGTACTTAGTTTCTCTAATTTCTAAGTCTTTGAGATTATTGGGGTCAAATGGCTTGCTTCCTAACAATATCTCCCTCTGTAAGAAAATAGCTTTCTTTGCTCTACTTAGTGAGTTACCACTCTCTCCTCCCCTTTTCATCTTCCAAAAATGTATGGATTTCATTCTCTGTCATGTACACTTCTTGGCCTATGTGACTTTAAACCTGTTTTATTCCTTTACTATCATTTTAACGTAAAACATGGAGCTCATGCCTCATGTACCTTATAGTTTAGAGGAGGACACAAGTAATAAAAGATGAATGATTGACTAAGATATACAAGGGTCCTTCAAAAAGTTTATGGAAAAATAGAATTAAAAGATAAGACAAATCTTTTCACGAACTTTTTGAAGTACCCTCATACTGTCACTTAGTGATAAATTCTAGGAAAAAAATTAGAAGAGAGTGATGCCAAGTTTAGATAAGTAATCAGATAAAATGCTTCAGAAGGGGTGGCAGTTTGAGCAAAGATGAAAATATGACTTCTATCTATTACGTTTAATTGGAAGTCCAGATTTTCTTTTTATTGCTAAGAAGGTACAAAATAATTCAATGTATCTTTTTTAAGTTCTGTAATTTTGCTTTCTTTATCAAAATTAGGAGAATTTAGTTTATTTTGGAAGATTGTGTTGTACATATAATAGTTTTAAAATATTGTCAAGAAGTTAGAACTTCTCAAGGGAAAAACAAAACAAAACCAGCAAAAACTAGAAAAATATGACAATGCATCTAAAATGTTAACTGTCCGAAACTTAACCAGTTTTTAGCTTTGTCTTTTTGCTTTTCAAGAGTCATAGAGTTTTTCATTCCTAAGTATTTTCTGATAATTTTAATAAAATTTTAAGTCAGATTGATGAGTTAGAGTCCTTTTATAAGATTAATATTTTCAGTTAATTTCGTTTAAGATACTACTTGAAATGTTGATTATCTTTAAATGAACAAGAGGATTTTGATTTGTGCCTTCTTTGTTAGAAAGATTTCTAAGTGGCAAATCCAGGTCATTTAAGTCTGTAAAATGTTCAAATAACTTTGAAGTATTTGGTATAAAATGTTGCTAATAGATTTTAAATGCCTTTATTTTAGGTCCTGAAGAGCGACAATTCAAGGGTTTAGGTGACTGTATTATGAAAATAGCAAAATCAGATGGAATTGTTGGTTTATACCAAGGCTTTGGTGTTTCAGTTCAGGGCATTATTGTGTACCGGGCCTCTTATTTTGGAGCTTATGACACAGTTAAGGTAATTTGGGGGCTTTAACTTAGATATATGAAATAAATGGTTTGTTTCTTCTTATTGTTCTAATTAGTAATGTATTCAGCAGATATGTTACTTTTAATTATAGAAATCAGAATAAAGGATGAGATAAGAGAAACATGAAATTCTGTTTAATCATGACTTTGCCATAACCTAATTAAATTATAATTGATTTGACCTTAGATATAAAGTATGTCTCAAAACATTATTTTGTGGTGTTTGCACTATACATCATAGTGCAAATGGAAAACATGCTCAGGCTTACATCATCATCAAATCTTTGGCAGATAGAAAGGCACTTTCTAATAGTTTTTCAGATTTAACTTTAACTTTATTATCACTTTTTTACATGCAGACAATCAATTTACTATCATTTGTGGAAGTAGGAAAGACATAATTGATTACAATAAATACTACTGTAGCTTGGTTATCTATTGGACACTGTTAGCTTCTGTGTTATATTTTCCAGATTGTTCTGCGATTCGCATTTTCATTTCAAATTTTAATAGCACTTCCCTAAGGTAGGAAAAAAGAAAGATTGTAATAATGGCTACAATTTTTTGAGCTATCACTTAGTTCTGGGAACCTTGTTAATGACTTTATATCCTCACAGTGTGCTGGGATAGCTTTTTAAATCTCTGTTTTTAAGATAAATAACCTAGAGCAGTTAAGTAATTGTTAAATGGCAAGCAAAAAGTTCATATTTTAATCACTATATCATAATGCTTCCAAAAGGAAGCAGTGAAATTATTATCAGTATTATTACTAAATAAGCTTAAAACTTGAGGGAAATTTTATGATAGATTTATATATTATCTCTGCCCTCCCTCATTAGTATAAATGTAATTAAATGTCATTTTTATTGTGGTCTTGACAGATTACTTTTAGTTTTTAGTGTATCTTTTAGACAGATATGTTCATGGAAATTACTCATGTGTATCATTTCCCTTTTCTTCTGATCTGCCACTATTAAAACCAACTGGTTTTTATTGCATTTTAAATATAATTAAGCCCTTTTTCATGTATTTATAGAAATTATCCTTTGACTTAATGATTTCACATATTTTAGAAATGTAGGTGGTTACTTGATACATTTTTCTTTCCTAGGGCTTATTACCAAAACCAAAGGAAACCCCATTTCTTGTCTCCTTCTTCATTGCGCAAGTTGTGACTACATGTTCTGGAATACTCTCTTATCCCTTTGACACAGTTAGAAGACGTATGATGATGCAGGTATTTAATATTATTATTTGTAAGCTGAATTGAGTTTTTCAGTATCTCTGTCCAGGTATAATTTATTCAAATTTTAGAAAAGTTTTGGCTGAAATTTTGGCAGAAATAAATAGGTCATTTGTTTTACTTAGCTAAAATAAATACACGATATATCCAGTATCTCTGTCCAGGTATAATTTATTCAAATTTTAGAAAAGTTTTGGCTGAAATTTTGGCAGAAAATTTTGGCAGAAATAAATAGGTCATTTGTTTTACTTAGCTAAAATAAATACACGATATATTGTGTTTTATATTCTTTACTCCTAAAATAGCCAGCAAAGCTTCTTCCTCATCTGCCATTAGAACAGAAATGCCTTCTCCTGCAGCATGTATTCCTTGGAGGGTAGAGGGGGATGGCAGTTATTGGATGAGTATGTCTATTTTAACTCAAATATTAGATGAAGTAGAATAAGCCCAGTCACAAGCTATTGATGTGTCATCATTTGTTGTAGTATATTTTCAGAAAAGTAAATAATTTTGAACTCCAAGGATGAAAATTGTTTATAATGATCTGTGTTCTAAATATAAACCCGAAACCAGAATTTTGATACATTCGATCTCCAGTGCTGTTATCTGTTATATTCATTCCTTCAACAAATATTTGAGTGCTTAATCTGTGCTAAGCTATGATACAAAAAATATAAGAAAGATTGCATTCAAACTCATAGTCTAGTATTGAAGACATACAGTTAATGATTTAAACAGAAATATTGTATAGGTTCCAGGAATGCACAGAGGAGGGGCACCCAAATGCATATAGTGAACAGATGTGGCCTCTCGGAGAGCTAAATCTCAGTGAATAGGCTTTCTTCAGACAGTAAGAAAATATTCTGGGCCGGCCCGGTGGCGCACTGCGCTAGTGCGCCGCTTGAGAAGCGCGGCTGCGCTCCCGCCGAGGGTTCGGATCCCACATACAGACCGGTTCCCGCTCACTGGCTGAGCGAGGCTCGGGGGCAACACCAAGGGTTGCGATCCCGTTGCCGGTCTCGGTCCGGTACGGGGGCGACACTGAGGGTTGTGATCCGTTGCCGGACACAGAAAAAGACAAAAAAAAAAAAGAAAAGAAAATATTCTAAGCATAGGGGAAAGACATACATAGAGGTAAGACTTGAGAAGTAGTTCAGTATAGCCAGACCATAGGTTTCAAGAGGGCAAGTGAAAATAATGATGCCAGAAAGCTACAATCATAATAATAGTGCTTAATGGGTGCCATATACTATCCTAAGCATTTTACACTTTAACTCAATAAATCCTGAAAACACTGCTATGAGGTATAGTTACTATCATTATCCTCATTTTTGTTATTTACAAAATGGTCCAGGAAGAACCCCGTAGACCACCTGGAAGGGTAAAGCTAACCTATTACTTCATTTGTGGACTATACTTAGAGTTATTCCTTTTACATCTGTGTTTCCTCTCGATCTATAGCTAGCTCTAGTTTAGTACATTGAGAAACTTTTAAAAATGGAAAATTAATTTGCATAGAGGCTGTGGATTGGGTAAATGGTACTGTATCAATGTTAAATTTCCTGATTTTGATAACTGTACTTTGGGTATGTAAGAAAATATACTTGTTCTTGGAAAATACACAATGAAGTATTTAGGGATAAGAGGCATGATGTCTGTGACTTATTCTCAAAATGGTACAGAAAAAAAATTGTGGGTATGTGGATCTTTATGTATATGTATGTGTATATATTAGCTTGCTAGGGCTACTATAACAAGTACTATAAACTGAGCAGCTTATACAACAGAAATTTATTTTCTAACAGTTATGAAGGCTAGAAGCCTGAGATCAAGGTGTTGCCAGGGTTGGTTTCTTCTGAGGATCTCTCTCCTTGGCTTGTAGATGGCCATCTTCTTCCTTTGTCTTCATGTGGTTCTTCCTTTGTCCCTCTTCTTATAAGGACAGTCATATTGGATTAGGGCCTACTTTAGTGATTTTATTTAACCTTAATTACCGTTAAAGATCCTATCTCAAAATATAGTTGAATTCTGAGGTACTGGGGACTTAAGCATATAATTTTGGTGGGATACAACTCAGCCCATAACAGTACTCTTTAAATTTGTATTTTCATTTTATATCTCACGATTTTGTTAACCCTATTACAAACACTAATATATATGTATGCACTTTGAGGGTTTTTATTTACGTAAAAAGGTATATAATCTGCAAATAATATCAATTTTTTCACCTTCCTTATCAGTTCTTATACCTTTTATTTTCTTTTCTTTTCTATATTCACTGAAACCTCTTGTTCAGTATTATATTATATATTAAAGAAGTAATACCTGGAAACTTTGTCTTTTTCATAGTCTTATAGTGAATCCCTTCAATGTTATATAATTTAATGTTTGTTAGGGGTAGGGGTTTTTGTAGTTATTTTTTATCGTGTTATGACAATTCCTTACTGTTCCTGGGTTACAACAATTTCTAATTATGAATGGCAGTCATTTTTTTCTATATCTATTGAGATGATCAGTATTGTTTTTCTCTTTTAATGTGTTAGCATATTATATTACATTAATCTGTTGTCTAGAGCTAAGCCAACCCTATATGCCTGGGATAACCCAGGTTGGTCATGATGTATTTTATATCCCTTGTTGGATTTGATTTACTGGGTTCTGTTCACAATTTTTGCATTCATGTTTCAGTGACTTTGGCTTCTTGTGTTGTACTAGTCTGACTTTGGAATCAAAGCTATGCAAGCCTCATCAAATATGTTGATTAGTCTTCCTACTTTTTCTCTTCTCTAGAATAATTTCTGTAAGATTAGAATTAAAATGTTCATTGAATGTTTAATAGAATTTACATGTAAGTTCTACATCTGGACATGCGGTTTTCCTTGTAAGATTTTCAACAACTGATTGAATTTCTTTAGCAATTATAGTATTATTCTATTTTTTTCTATTCTGTTGGTAAATTATACTTTTCTAGGAAACATCCATTCTGAGTTTTAAAAATAATTGTCATAAAGTTTTTAATAATATCATCTTTCTCTTTAATCTCTGGATTATCTTCATTTATATTACTTTTGCATCTCTAATAATCTCGGGGTTTTTTCTCTTTTTCCCTTAAACAGTATTTCAAGAAATTTGTCAGCTAAGAATTTCAAAGAACTAACTTTGGACTTTTTATGTTTTCTGTTATGTTATTTTCTATTATCTTTTGACTTTTTATGCTCTCTGTTGTGTTTGTTTTCTATTTCCTCTATTTCTGATGGTCATTTTCTTATTTTTACTTTCCTTAGGTTTATACTTTTCCTAAAGTTGTTTAGGTTGCTCATTAATTTTCAGCTTTTCTAAGATTTCATGGTCATTAATTTATTTATAAATTACCACTCAAGCTGCATCTTATAATTTTAGTTAAGGGATTTTGTGGTTATCCTTTGGCTTTCTATATTTTCTAAGAAGTGGCATTTTTCTTAATATCCAAACATATTTTTCTAGTTATTTTTGCTGTCAATTTCTCACTTAATTGCATTGTGATAAGAGGATAAATCCTGTTCTATATGATGTAATTCTTTGACGTTTGTTAAACCTAGTATATGGTCAGTTTTCAAATGTTCCTGAAAAGTAAGAATATTCTCTAACCACTAAGTAAAAATATTCAGTATATGCCCCAATCAACTCAATGAAGTGTTACTCCAGTGTTAATCTTATCCTTAGTGCTGATAGAAAACTATGTTTGTTAAGGTAAAAAAAAAAAAAAAAAGTTAAGATAATGGCAAACTATGTCTTTTCTATATAGAGTGGTGAAGCTGAACGGCAATATAAAGGAACATTAGACTGCTTTGTGAAGATATACCAACATGAGGGAATCAATGCATTTTTTCGTGGTGCCTTCTCCAATATCCTTCGTGGTACAGGGGGTGCTTTGGTGTTGGTATTATATGACAAAATTAAAGAATTCCTTAATATTGATATTGGAGGTAGTTCATCAAGAAATTAAATTGAGAAATACATGTATTTAATTTGTTTCAACATGTAAATTACATAGCTGCCATTTGTGTACATTTTGATAGTGCATTACTACTGTCAATATTTTCTTAAAGTGCTAATTTTGCAATAAAAGCATAGGCTTTTTTTCAAGGATTTAAATACTAAAGTCAGATAAATGTGGGTTTCCTTCCCTCTTAGAATCAAACTCTAATGGGACACTTTACTTATTATAAGTAGTATATGTTATTTCTCTTAGTTTGAAATTCTTTTCTTACTTTTGTGATGAAAAATTAAAATGTATAATGCTAAAACCTAACAAATGAAAGTATCTTTTTGAAATTTCTATTCATTTAATATACCTGTCTTCCCTTCTTTTAAAATCACATGGTATGACAAATATTTCTTAAGAGCTTATCAGAAGATGTCATCATTATATCTGTAGGCATAAATAAGCTTTATTCTACATCTCTAGTAAGACAGCCCTGGTATTACTGTGTATCATATTTATAGTATCATATAGCTTTTTATAAGCATAGGCTGTAAATCTGATCATTAAAAAATTTGATGACTTTAATGATATTATAAAAACTGCATTTGGAAAATAAAACAAAATGGCTTATCTGCTAATCTTTATCTTTCAAATAAATAAAATCTTGCTAGAGTGAATATACCTTGAAGAAAAAATACACCCCTGAAAATTAGTTTGTGTATTCTGCATTGATCATAAAGGAAGTTTAAAACTGTTATAAATGAGCCTTTTTAATCTAACCTTATTAGTGAGCAGAGGATAGTAAAATACTTGTCAGAAGTGGGAACTGACTTAAAGACAGAAAACAAAAGGTATTTCTCAATGGAGAAATACAAATAGCATTTCCAAGGTTTCATAAAGGAGTCTGTCTAGTTTTTCAGAGATGCTGTAGAAGATACTACATTTGAAATCCCCAAGATTTAAAAATTTTAAGGATTCATAACCATTTTTCTGCCATGGACACCTTTGTCAATCTAGTAGAGCCTATAAAACCCCTCTTGTAATGAAGTTTTTAAATACAAAAAATAAAATACATAGGATTACAAAAGAAACAATATTGGAAATATGGTTATTAAAAATACAAATTTGTGATGTAATATGTGTTTTTTAGCACATTTATAAGATCTAACAGCCTAATAATTACCATATTTTCAAAGAAGTGATGACCGTTAATGTTGTTTGGAGATATATCCATCAATTACAATGTGGGATGAAAATACCTGATTTCTATTGATGGGAATAATCACAGATACTGTTAATACCACATTGATTTGTGCCTACATTCATAATTGAAGGAAATGTTAAATTTCAGTTAAAGTTTAGTTCAAGACACACACACACACCCTTAACTCTATCTATGGATCCTTTGGGAATCTGGGAAACTCAGGTAAAGAACCCCTGTCCTAGAGCATTACACTCATCTGCATAGTCAAAGCTGCATCTCTGACTCAACTGTGTTCCCACATACAGGAAACGGGAAAGATAAATCAGGGCAGGTGGAGTTGCACATATCACATACACACATTGGTAAGACTTTACTTACATGGCCATACATAGCTAGAAGAAGGTGGGAACTATAGTCTGTAATTGAGCAGCCACGTGTATAAGATGAAATAGTAGATGTTGATAGTCAGCTATGAGTCTGCCACAGCTAACTAAGTGATAATTTGCATCCAATTTCATTTTGCTCCAGTCCATTCTCCACGCTGCTACCAAAGTACTTTTTAAACTCCAATCTCATCATGTCAGTTTCTACCTAAGCTCTTTCAGTTCCTCTAAATATCTTATAGCAGTAGTTCCTAACTTGTAAGTCATCCAAATTGACAGAGGTTGAGGGGACAGTTTTTGCAAGTAATCCAGGAGTGTCTGTGTTTACTAAAATTGAAAACTGAATTTTAAAATGAGGCGTGTGTATGTATAATTTTTGTTTATATATATACAGTCTTTGGGTATTAGCAAAATAGTTATATATTGAAGTGTTATTGAACTCATAGTAGTATGCAGACATTATTATTTCAATAAACGCTAAAAAAAATAGTTACTTTGGTAGACATATTTTTTTACATTAAAAAGGAGACCTCATTCTTGGAAAGGTAAATTGCTGGCCTATAGAATAAAGACTTCTTAGCATGGCATACAATACCCTTCATGATGTATCTCTAGACTTTGGTTACACATTGTACCTGTCCTTCTAGGCATTGCAGGCATACCAGTAACTTCTGATTCCCCAAATACAATTATGTTCTTTAATGCCTCTGTGCCATTGCACCTTGTTTGTTATATATCATTTATTTTCTTTGTACCTTCTTTACGGTTACACATTGTACCTGTCCTTCTAGGCATTGCAGGCATACCAGTAACTTCTGATTCCCCAAATACAATTATGTTCTTTGATGCCTCTGTGCCATTGCACCTTGTTTGTTATATATCATTTATTTTCTTTGTACCTTCTTTACCCTCTGCTCATTAGTTTTCTTCCTTCTCATTACCTACCTGGAAAGTAACTTATTTTTTTGAAGCATAATGCGAAAGTTGCCTCCTCTGAGAAGACCTTCCTGCCTCAAAGGATTCCTCACCCCAGACAGGAATCCCATGGCTGGTCTATCAAACACAGAAGCTTCTAGACTGCTATGCAGATGTCTACTATAGCACTTATTATAGGGTGAAGTTCTTATTTCAAAAAATATTGTGCACCTCCAAGTTCAAGGCCTTAATTAGTATGAAACAAAAACAAATACATTTCATATGCTCATAATCTAGTAAAGTTCATAATCTAGTAAAATGGACAACACAAATAACTGGTGAACAGAATGTGAAAAATACCTTAAGAAAGATAAAGTGCTAGCAAAGGAAGGAAACAAAGTCAACTTGAGGCAGTCATGGGAGGCTTCATCATATTTTAAACTGAGTCTTAAACAATATTGAAGATTTTAAACATGTAAAAGTGAAGCAGTATCCCAAAGAAAGATATTGGCACAAAAACTTGGTAGAGAAAGTCATGTCATATTTACACAATAGCAAGTTGTCAAGACTGGCTAAAATTAAACAGTAAATGTAGAAAAGTGATAGGAAAGAGGGTTGAAAAGAAGATCAGGGGCTGTCTTAAGTCTTTTATGTTGCTGTAACAAAATACCTGACACTGGGTAATTTATAAAGAACAGAAATTTATTTCCCACAGTCCTGGACACTGGAAAAGTCCAAGATAAAGGTATTGACATTTGGTGTCTGGTGAGGCTACATCCTCCGTAGGGGCAGAATGCTCTGTCCTCACATGGCAGAAGAGCTGAAGAATAAGCCAGCTGAACCTGTGTGGAGCCTCTTTTATAAGGGCACTGAACCCTGAGGGAGGAGTCCCATGGCCTAATCAATTTTTAAAGGCCCTACCTCTTGATACTATTACATTGGCAATACCTAGATTTTGGAGGGGACACATTCAAACCATAGCAGGGGTCAGACTGTTTTGGGATTTGAATGCCAAAATAAAAAGTTTAGACAGTAGAGAACCATCGTTAATTTTTTGATCAGGTGGAATAACAAAGTCAAAGGCAATGCTTTAGGAAGATACCTTGGCCCTATAATGGGAGAAAGGCTGAAGGTAGAGACCAAGGCGGAAATTAAACCATTAATCCAGTTGAAATAGAGATTCTGGATCATCAGATATTTTAAGTATATCTGCTAAATATTCTAGCAATATGGCAGATTGTGCTGACATAGATGCCCTTCCTCACAAACACATGAATGTGCTAGATAAAATACGGCCAAAAGAGTTTTTTTGCTTTGTAGTTTTTTTTTTTTTAATAAAAAGAGAAACACCATATGTCAGAAATGAAGAACATACTCAAGGCCAGGAGAGTAACTAGGAGCTAACAGTGTAACAGTCCACCAGTTTCAGAAACAGATATAGATTCTAAGGGGGTTTTGATACCGACACTTAGATGGGAGTTATCAACTTGGGCCTGGTAAAGAAGGGGGTTGGTTGTGGGTAGTATGTTTCAGTTTCAACTCCCTCAGGGCTCTGACAAAAACAAATACAAAACCTTTCTGGGACACTTGTACAATCCAGAACATACAAAAATCCCACAGAAATAGTATCCCCTTCAATGAAGATGAATTCATATTCAAAACACTGTGTGCCAGTTGGTAGATATAACAAACAGAATTAGCACTCCAGGTACTAAAAATGTGATAGGATAATGTAAAAGAGACTATAAAATTAGAAAGTTTAAAATGATTAATAGGTTTTTATAAAAGGAAGAGAAATAAAAATAGTATAGTATGAAAGAACAGGCAAGTTTTAAAAAGAACATCTAGAAATGGTAAATAGAGCATCTGAAATTAAAAACATGACTAAAAGGGGCTAAGCCATTGAGGTTCAAATGAAGGAACCCCATATATTCTAATAAGAGATCCAGAAGAAACTGAAAAGGAGTGACAGGCAATAATCAAAGGAATGTCTGATAATTTCCAGAGCCTTAAAAATCTGTTCATCTTCAAGTTAACAAAAACCTCTGAATAAATAAAAGCAAAGCCACAATTAAGAACATCATAATGAAATAGCAAAATATCAAAAGAAAAAATAAACTCCTGACTTAAATAGAAAAAATAAACACATGACTTTAGACTCATGAATAATAGGTGCCAAAAGATATGGGAAAATATTGTCAATCACAAGTTCTGTACTCAGCTAAATTATTATTCAGGTTAGGTTAAGATAAGATTTTCAGACAAAAACAAAAAATAGTTCACTATTCAGAGACCTTTGCTAAAAGAATTACTGAAAGAAAACTGAACCCAGAAGGAAGGAGTAGGATGCAAGAAGCAATGAAATCAACAAACTGGTAAACATGTTGGTAAACCTAGATAAACACTGGATGTAAAAGGAAAAATGCACTTTGTGGTGGGAGAAGAGACTTAACATAGTGAATTTGGAAATAGCCTTATTCTCACTTCTCTTGGGAGCCTGTACACATTCTGATCTCTTCCTCCTTGATATGTTTTATAGGGGCAGGCCCACATGTGGCATTAGCGTGCATTACTTTGATATGGTAGGTATGTCTACTTAATTTTGGGGTACAGTAATTATCTAAGGCACCTAAATCCTTTCTCTTATATCAGTATTATCATTAATGAAGCAAATTTTTTGTCTCCGTTGCCTACTCCTATCTCAATTATTTGAAAACCCAGGTAGGGATATAGCTAAAATAATATCTAGAAGGAAATTTATGCCTTCAAATGTCTGTTAGAAAACTGGAAAATTAATGAGCTAGATGTTCAACTCAGAAGATTAGAAAAAGAATAAACATAAATAAAAATTTAGAAGGAAATAATAAAGAGAAGATGAAATAGGGCGCGTATATAAAGAAGTCAAGAAAACCAAAAGCTGGTTATTTTAACAAACCACTAGTGACAGGAACCAAGAAAAAGAAAAGATTCAATTAAACAATATTAAGAATGCAAGGAAGGACATAGAGCTACAGAAGATATTTTTTCAATCATCCATGATCAACTTTAAGCCAATAAATTTGAAAACCTAGATGAAATCATAAATTTTTAAAGAAAGTATAAATAACCAATATTGATTTGAGAATAATAGAAAACATAGACTATAACCACCAAAGAAATTTAATCAGTGGTCATAAATCACATAAGCTCCAGGCCAAGATGGTTTACAGGCTTGTCTTATCAAAACGTCATTAGAGAACATTAAAAAGATAGGAAACACCTTTGACTTCCTCTGAGGCTAGTATAATCGTGATACCAATAAGAGTAAAGAAAAGAAAATTAAAGGTTAGTCTCACTTATGAATATAGATACAATATCCTACATAAAATAATCACAAGCCAAATCTACTGTATCTAAAAACAATCAGAACTGTCATGGTCTAGCTGGCTTATCCCAGGATACAAGGATGTTAGAAGAATCTATTAACATTATTAACTATATTAACATATTAAGGGGGGGAGTCACTTTATTATATGATTATTAACATTTGTTAAGTTTCAATATCCACTTTTGAGAAAAACTTAGCAAACTAGGAATAGAAGATACTTCTGTTAATTGTCTTACATCATAAATACAAAAGTATTTTCTTTAATGTTAAGGACAAAACAAGGATGCTTACCATTACTGCCTTTATTTAGCATTTTGCTGGAGAGCATAAGCAACATAATTACAAAAAAATAATAAAAGGATTAAAAATTAAAGAATTAGTTATTTCCCAGGTCATATGGGTCTACACACAGAAAATCCAAGAAACTCTGCGAATACCAGAACTTATGAGTATAACAAGGTTGCTGGACACATGATCAATATATATAAATCAATATTCCTATATTCTAACATCAGCTAAATGTAACTACCATTCATTGACCGTTTGGTGCCAGGCACTGACGCCATGCTTACATTATTTAATCATAAAAACAGCCCCATAGGTATATTTGTCTTTAGTTTAACAGACTTCAAATCTGGGGCTTAGAGAGTTAAAACATTTGCCAAAGGTCCTACAGGTAGTACGTTAGGCAAGTCTGGGCCTACAACCCAAGTCTATGAGACCACAAAGCCTGTCATAGTTTAGCCACCCGTGTCCTCCCAATAATTGTCAGGAATGTGATAACTCCTTGCTCCTGACCTCACCTGTTTCTTTCTACTTTGATACTGTGGGGATTTTTAAAAAGAAAAATCATTCTTACACCCTCAAGTTTTACAGATAGCATGGATAAATAAGTAGAGTTAAGTAAATAAATGGTCCTAGAAGAGTTTCAGGATATTCTGGAATAAATCTAGATGGCGGTGGGTCCAAAAGGGTGATGGGTCCAAAAGGGTGATGGCTGAAGAGGTAACCTAGGAGAAACAGGGAAGCTGCGGGCGCCCAGCAGGACTGGGGCCCGAGTTCTGTTGGGGGCACAGCCACCAATCCCTGCTCTGCTCAGGCACTGCGTGCTGGGAGCCTAGTCCTGCGACCTCTCAGAGGGCGTGTCAACCAGAGCAGCCTGTGTGTCCTGCTTTCTCCCAAAATGAAGAAAGGAGTGATTCTTTAATGGAGAGAAACCAGGGCCGAAGCAATAGTGTACATTCCAGTTTCAACAGTATTGCCCTTGAAAATGGATTTCATGGTCATCATAGCAACAGCAGCAGAAGCTATAGCCACACTTGCTGCTGTTGTGGCAGCATTGTTCATAGTAAAATGTCTAAGTTCCTTAAAGAAGTGGACAACTAGTGACAGTAAGAGTCAAAAATATGGTAAAAGCCCCACGCCTATTTTCAAGATGGCAACCAGTATGAACAAGAAACAGGAAGAATTGGAAGAGAAGGAACAGGGAACACACGAAGAAGTGAACGAAAAAGAACAGGGCAGCCAAACTTCGTGAGTATAAAATATAGCTCGGTTAATTGTAGAGAGACTGGCAACAGATGCTGATCAAAGGAAGAGGGACGATGATGGACTACACCAGGCCCCCTCTCTGAGGAACACAGGGCAGCGGCTGGAGGCCGATGCACACGCTTAGCTGGCTTCCGAGTGACACACAGACTTAAGGTCACTTTCCTGTAAAACTGGTTTTCAGAGGTAAGGGATAGTGGAGGGGACTGCGTCTTTTGCAGTAGTATGAAGGAAGGTATGAGAAGGGAAAGTTGTGCTCTTGTTTCTTGCCACAAGTTTGGCTTTTGATATTTCAAACCATGGTAAGAAAAAATTTTGTTTGGTCTGCCCTCACACAGAGACTGGAGTTTATGCAGCGATGAGGACTCACTTCCCCCGGGCGCGGCGGCGCACAATGGGCGCCACCTCACAGAGCCGGGCGCGACTGGACCTCGAACCACACTGCGGCGCGCGCCGCCGGTGGCAGATGGGCCCCTCCGGGCGGCGAGGTGGGTGGGTGGGTGCTTTGGCTGCAGGCGGGCCCCTTTCCGGGAACGGGGCGAGGAGGCGGTGCCTGACTTCTAACTAGCCTCAGCAGCGTCCTGCCGCAGTGGTAGGCACGCCTCTAGTTGCCACAGCAACCAGAAAGTGTGCCTGAAGACACGTGGGCAAACCGCCGGGCTGGCGGCCGCCTCTCACCTAGCCCAGACGCAGGGCGCCCTGCTGCCGCGCGATGGCGAGCGATCCAACTCCGCTTCCTTTCCTCCCAGATCCTCCCCGCCCCGCCTTCCTCTCCCTCCCGCCCCCGGTTGGCTTAGCTGTCTCCATTTTCCAGATCTTTCTCGAACCCGCAGCTTCTCGGGCAGCCGTTGCCGAGTGCTGACGGAAGCGGCCGAAGTGGAGGCCGGGCGCGGAGGGGCGGCTCGTGAGCCTCCCCAGCGTCAAGCGCGCAGGCGCAGATCCCAGTAACTGCCGGTTGGAGGTGGCCGAACCGCAGCGGGGGGAGATCTAGGCTGCAGAGTCTGCTCGGCGGGCGGCTTCTACCCCCACCCCGCGGTTTCCCGACGCGCCCTACCGTAGATTTTCTGCGTGGCGACTTGGGGTCTTCTGTCCTTTGCTTCTTGTAGGAGTCGCAGTCCAAGCAGCAACAACCCCAGAAAGGACGCAGTCCCGGCATCGGAGGCTTCAGCACCAGCACCCCAACCATTAGGCGGCGGGATGTCTGTGGTTGGCATTGACCTCGGCTTTCTCAACTGCTACGTCGCTGTAGCCAGGAGTGGCGGCATTGAGACCATCGCCAATGAGTACAGCGACAGGTGTACCCCGTAAGTGCCTCTTAGGGTCATGGCCCCGACCCGAAAACATTTTCTCCCTCCCTCACGTTTGTCCTGCCTGCTGGTTTCCTCGGATTGCCCCTCTCGTGCGGCCGAGCCCCGAGGTGACAGGTGTAGCCCATCAACTGCAATCTCTAGAGACCGCTGGTTGGCGGGCCCGGGTAGCAGTCGGACTTCTTCGCTCTTCAAAGCTGCTTTTCCTTCAAGGACAAGGGATCACACTAGTTTGTGCATCTCTCCTCTTTGTACCCCCACACGCCTTCCTCCCCATGCGGCTGTCCGCCAGAACTTGTGCTTTAGGTTGCGGGGAAAAGGGTGGTGTGGGAGCTCCTCGGCGTCCGAACATCGGAGAAAGATCTCGGGTTGCCTCTAGTGGGATTTGCACGGGATTATCGGCCGCGGGCATTCCCCGCTAGCTGAGTAGAGAGTTCTTCATCCTGCCGGTCCTCCTTTCCCTCTCTCTCTGAGTGGCAGCTTTCTCTCAGAAAAGTGAGAACTGAAAGCTTAGACTGCACACGTCAGAAGATGAATTGCAGGTTCATCTGGCCCCGAAAGCCATTTCTTATTGGGGGAGGTGAGGTGTGTGAGGTTTTACAAAACCCCGTGTCCTTGACAGTTGGGAGGTAATCGGACCGGTTTCCAGGGCGTAGGTTAATGGTGGATTAATAGGAAGAGACTCAGGTGTGGGGGTCATTAGCCTCGTGTATTGTTAATGTACGTCAGTTGAATGGAAAGTGGAGGGGTTAGATCCTACGAAAAGCATATTTCTTCGGAATGAATTGTTAGAGTCGGAGGCGACTATCCTGTATAAACGTCATGGTGGAGTGATTCTATTATAAACACTTGATGAAAAGACTTAGGAGTGGCATTATGTCATGGAAACATGTTTCCACGTGTTCCGTCGTTTCTCTGGTCTGGGAATTTTGTTGGCAAAGAATGTAATTAATACTAGGATATGTAAAACTAGCTTCTTATTGTAGGCTCCTGTTGCCAGTAATTTTATAAGAAAATTGTTCGTGTATTACTTTTTATGGAAAGGTCATTAAATCTATTAATTTGACTTTTCTGAATCGTCAAAAAATACCTTCGTATAAGACTAATCTTAACAAAGGTCAGTGTAAAATGATCTTTAAATGCCTAAGTTACTACAGTTCTGTGGATAGTTTAAAAACATGGCGAGGAGTTGTTGAAGAGCAGCTTACTTGAAGCAGTCTGTGCTTTGATTCCTTTCAAAGAATATTCTAAAAGGTTTGATGCCCTTTTGCTAGATGTACAAGTTATATTTCTGATATAGAAATTTTGGATATTTATATCCTCAAATATGGGCATAGATCAGTTGATCCTTATAGTACTGTTCGAACTCTTGCTTCTCCTTTGTATATCTTTTTCTGGCATTCATGCACAATGAGAGGCTGAAGCAGTAATTGTGAACTATTTATGAATTCATCTCTGCAAGATTTTGTTTTAAGCCATACGGATATGAGCTTCTAAAAGGACCAGGTCAATGGGGGCAGTCTTTGGCTATGACAGAAAAGTGAGAGATAAGGTGGAAATTCCCCTAGTCCTTAAAGCCCTATCCTAAAAGATCAGAAACAAGTACTAGAAGAAAGATACTGCATTTCCAGGCTCAGAAATCTCTTCAGTAGTAAGCCCGTGACTCTTTAAACAGTCTGGCCAGACTTACAGAAAGTTCTTTAAACATTGGGCTACTAGGGCCAGCCCGGTGGCGCACTGTTACAGTGCGCCGCTTGAGAAGCGCGGTGGCGCTCCCGCTGAGGGTTCGGATCCCACATACAGACCTGCCGCTCACTGGCTGAGCGAGGTGCGGGAGCAACACCGAGGGTTGTGATCCCATGGCCGGTCCCGGTCCGGTCCGGGCGCGACACTGAGGGTTGCGATCCATTGCCGGTCACGAAAAAAGACAAAAAAAAAAAAAAATTGGGCTACTAGAGTCTTCTAGAAGTCTCTTTGCCACTATTCTTAGGCATTTAGGCATATTGGCTGATTATATGTGGCTGAGATTTAATGTGATATTTCTGATTTGTGTGTAAGAAAGCCAATACTAATATTTAGATTTAATGCACCTGATCCAAGCTAGAAACTTGCTAAGGTAGAAGGATCAACTCTGCTCTGCTCTTCATGTCTCTGCATTGTCATTTACTACAGAGGTATATCTTTTGTTGTCACTGAACAAAAGTACTTTATGGTGGTCTGGTGCTCTTACACTGTGCATTTACTTTGTGGGTCTTAAATTATTGAGGAAAAACATAGCCCTTCCTGGTCCCATAACATTTATTCACTTACTGAATGTCTGTTAAGCAAAAAGCATTGTAACTATTAGAAAATCTTTAACTTACTGATACACCATAGTATTTAATAACACATATAAACTAGCTTTGTAAAAAAATGTTTTCCATATTCCGGATGCTGACATCAAGGTAGTATGGCAGAAGTATTTCTAATATGCAAATAAATTACACAGTAGAAAGATCTGTAAAGAGGAAGGAAATGTTAGTTGGTTTTAGCATCCATACTTTTTCCACATTTGTTTCATTCTTTAACATACTAGATTATTTATACATGGGAGGATCCCATGTATAAGGCAAGAAGGACAGCTAAATGAAAAAGAGAACTACTTAAGTTCTGGCCTTCAGTTAAGGGACCAACGGCAAGGAGTTTAACCTGTGTTTCTTCAGATTTAGCTTCTGTAAAGTTGGAGTGCTTGTACTAGCTTCCCATCACCTGCATAAGTTGAAGGAGAAAGAAATTAACATCATGCATAAATTGAAGAGAAAATAGCTTAAATTTTCTGAACATTTTTCCTTATTTAAAAAAAATATATATAAATAGTACATGCTCATTGTAGAAAATATAGGCACATTAAAAGATGAGATTAAAATTATAATACTTCCACCCAGAAATAAAACTTCCAGATGGTTTTCTCTGTGTATTTTCAAGGCAAGGGGAAAGATGTACTTTATGTTGTCTGGTAACCTCTTTCTTTGTAAAACATAGTATTTCTATACCGTCAGCCTTAGTGTTTGTATAATCATTAATTTAATCCTCTATTGGACATTCAGGTTGTTTATGATACTTGGGGTTTTTTTGTAAACAGTGCTGCAGTAACTATCTTTGTAATTAAATATGCAATCCTTATTTCTTCAAATAAATTCCTAGAGGTAGAATTACTGAGGATGTGCATTTTTAAGGCCTTAGACATGTTTGCATTGTTGAGTTAAGTGTAGATGTGGGGATTGGAATTTCCATCCTAGGCTTAATTATATCAAGGTGATTAGTTTCACGCATGAGGGAAAAAAACTACAGCCAAGAATTCTTATTTGGTATCAAATTAAAGTATGTGGTCAGCTATAACTGTGTTGATAATAAGATTGCTATGTGCCAACCGTTGTATGCCACTGTCATAAATATCACAATTCTGAGTTTTGATAATACTAGCTATCTTCTTTCCATAAGAAGCCTAAAGCAGAGTTAAGTAACTTGGCCAAGAACCAGTAAGCAGTGAAATGGATTTTGTTATGTACCTTTTTGACTCCAGAACCCAAATATTTTCATTATCCATTAGTATAAGTATGATAGATACAAACTAGGTTGATAGAGATGAAGGGACAAATTACCTGGCTGAGAACTTACTGTACAGAAAAGCATCTTTGCTCTGCCATCAATAAACTTCTATTTTTGTCTAGTTTCTAAGAACTATCTGTTTTCAAATGTTTTAATAATGCTTTTAAGTTATTTTAAGGACATGTAAAAATCTTTGAAAAGTTTATAAAAAAAAGTATATACACAAACATCAGTGTGAACATATGGAAGAAAGCATGTGGAAGACTATAAACTACTATTAACAATGGATATTTCTTGGAGGTAGAATTATGGAGGATCTGCTTTTCATTTATAGTCTGTAATGTTTTGAATTTTTATAGACCTATTTTACAATAAAGACTGTGGATTTTTTTTGATGAAACTCTTATTTCGCAGATTTTTGTCAGGTGTGTTGTTTTATCATCAAAATTTTGTATCATCAGCCTTAATATTCAGTTCTCTGGTTTTCTGTCTTCATTACTTTTTCACCATTCCTTTACCATTGTTGTGAATAATATGGGAAAATAATGTTTAAACACTGTCTCAGATGTGTGGGATATCCTCAGCGCATAAAAGTAGAAATCACTTACTTTGGTATATTAAAAATACCTGTACATAGAAAATGTCAAACTCCAGAGGTTGACCATCATTGTAGAAAGGAAGGATTTTTTATGGTGATAGCAAGTGGGGGGAGCAGGAGGCTTTTTCATTATTTTGGTTAAATACTGTCTTTACTGTAGGAGTTGGTTTTGTTTATGTTTTACTATGAGCTTATATTAACTTTGATTTAAAATATTTTAAATGCTGAAGAATTATACAAAGTATATCTCCCCCTTTGTCTCTTCCAAGGTCTAATGTGTATGTTTTTAGTTATACAAATATGTGATTACAAGTGCGTAGCTGGGATATTTTTCTTTTTTTTCTTTTTTTTTACGAAAGTGGAATTACATTACACTTTTTTTTTTACAAATTACTTTCTTTCACCTCTAAATATATTGTGGACATCTATTCAAACTTGTACATGGCTCTAATTTACCTCATTCTTTTTAATAGTGGTACAATATTTCATTGATAAAGTACTGTGAACATTTCAAATTATTATTTTGCTATTTCCAAACAAAAATTTAATGAATACCTTTTCTTTTTTAATCAAATTTGCTGAGGCGAGTGAAAGGGCATGTGATGTCTATTATGAGTTTAAAATGTTTAACATACCATTGATAGTCTTTTTAATATGTGGTCATTGCAATACACCTTAATGAGCATAGCTGTGTTCCTGCAGAACTTTATTACAAAAATAGATGGCAGGTGGTAGTTTGCAAACTCTTGGTTTAGGCAATTATAATCCACTGATCTTTAAAATTATTAGGCTTTGATATTTGTGTTTGAAC